GAAAAAAGAGGGTTTCATTACTATTTGACGACACTCAACCTACATCTTTAAGTCTTAGTTATATCCACAAAAAATAAAATTTCTTTTGTAAGTCTAACTTGTACCATTTTTTGGACATTTTAATATCACAGGGAAGCTTTTTTTATCAACATGAATAGTCACCCTTTTGATTGAAGCTCACTACAATGTGCCAATTCTCGACTTTCGAAATCCTTAGCGTTTCATGTTGTATTTATTCATGGATATAGTTTCTAACTACGGTTTGTTCCTATAAACGGAAAAATCTGCTCTAAATTCGTTTTTTTTGAGAGACCCCGGTAAACCCAACCTAAAAGGAATAGAGCCCGGGGGGGAAGAAGCTAAAACTGTACACTGTAGAGAAGGAGACTGGCATATCTCCGGTTATCTTACTTCCCTTTAGCAGGGGGCGTGTGTGAGTACAGATTTTTTTTCCATTCGCGGAAAGCGCGTACGAGTTCGAGAACCGATGTCTGCCGCATCCTTAACCGGACGACGATCGGATAACTTTTTGTCTTACGTCAAATAACCCGAATATACGAATAAGTCTTAGTAAAAGTTTCCCTGTGTCCGGTCGTAGAACTATAATTTGGATACCTAATTGATTGTCGTAGCAACAATAGCAAAATTTACCGTAACTTCTGCGTCAAAACTGGCGTCTGTTTTGGTTCCACTTCCGGTACAATCGCACATCCGATGGACGCGTGTACAAAACTACGATGAAACAATGACTATTTCGCACGCTTCAAACATACGAAAGTTCACAACTCCACCCGTGGCAATCTAAGACCAGAATCGCTAGTATCTTGGCTACACCAACACTTTACACGTCGATCCTATTATATTGCCCTCGATCCTCACTAAAAGCCACGTCATTATCCGATCGTAAAAAGTCGAGCCCCCGATTAAGGTTCTTCCGAAGTGACAAACGAAAACTTTTTTTTACTTTTCTAGTCTATTTAGCTCAAAAAGGGTTTAATATACTATTTTTTATAAGTATTAATAATTATTAATTCCGAGCGAATTCCGCTAAACAAAGGACCCCGGTTTACTGCGTTAAAGTCCGGTTGACCTTGGCCTGGTAGGCACCCCGGATTCTCCAAAATTGTGGGATAAAACGGTTCAACAAATTAGTCACATTGTTTGTTTGTCATTTTATTGTTTTACCGGCAAATTTCCCCTCTCGAACACGGTCTGATAAAGACTTATTTCGTGGTCCGGTCGCTCAAAGACACAAGGTCAGTAACACGATTACGACCCCCGGATTGTTGACGACAATATGATCTCACCATAATAAGAAGATTCGTTTCTGTAACAACGGCGATCTTGTCGTAAAAGTTATTCTATTCGCTTGAGGGCGAAAAAGGTTGTTTCACGTATGATACGTACATTTATGTGTAAATTGCGGATATAATCCAAATTAACGAAATGAAGTCATATAGATCGAGTAATTCGGATCATGAAGTGGAGAAAAGCGATTTTCTGGGTGGACCATTTCGGAAGTTTATTCTTAAGAAGTGGTCAATGTCGTTTTGTAATTAACCCTTTTAGAAAGGAAGATATGGTCATTTGTTCTGGGAATGTCATTTTCGAGCCTGAAACCTGAAAAACAGGCTTGGGGCTTAAGAAGTTAGAACTTCAGTGGTGGCGGGTTTTGTTACCTTAAGCTAGCTGTTTCCAGTCTTTGTGCTAAGCTAAACATTTCCTAGATGCACATTCCTTAATAAATGAATGTTTAGTTACTGCAAGCAAATTAATTTAAAAGTAATACATATAAAACACACAGACATTGAAATACATGTGCATTTATTATGTATTGCTTGTATTGCTTACATCACTTTTCTTGGAGTTTGTAGAATCATGATTGAATCACAAGCATAGAAACCACATTACTTTACAACCAACGTTATTTGCCACATTAATAACCTTAATGTTTGTAATTGTGACTGGTTGACCCCTGTTGTCTGTAGGTGGCTGAGAGACAGACCATCTAAAGGGGGATCATGTCAGTCTCCTGTACTTGGGGCCATTATAGACAGAATGGAAATCTCCCTGATCCCGGCCCTGCTGCTGCTGCCTCTCCTGCTGCGAGTTGCAGCGCTGCACCTCCTGCTGGGTGTCACCATCCTGACCGCTCTGCCCGGCATGGTGCTGTGGTACTACTACGCCACGCACAGAAAAAAGAAACGCACCCTCTTCTTCCTCACCCTATCTCTCTACTCCCTGTTCTACATGTATTACCTCTTCATTACAGAGATTTTACCTTGTGGGAACGTCAGCCAGCTGCAGGTGTGTACTGTGACCACGGGGGTGATTCTCACTCTCGTCTCTCTTATACAAACCAAGAGAGGCCCGGGCTTTGTGACCCCGTTCCTACATGTAGCTCACAGCCACAGTCAGGAGGCTGAGAAGGACTCCACACATCTTAATGGATGTATCCAATCAGCAGCTGCAACAGGGACCCAAAATGCCCTAACAACAAAACTGAGCAGCTGTCCTGTGTGCAAAATAATGCGACCCCCAAGAGCCGGACACTGTCGAACCTGTGGATCCTGTGTCCAGCGTCTGGACCACCACTGTGTCTGGTGGGTTGGATACAACATATGTATTTATATATGGCCCATGATCACTTCTAAGTCAGTTATACTTTTATCTTTGCAATAATAGAAGGATCATGAAAGTCTCTTTTTACTTTCACTGAACTAAATTAGGTTAAACAAAACAAAATCCCAATTTAACCCTGAATGCCGCTGTCTTTTAGAGAACTCATGCTGGCCAAAGAGTCATCTGGGGTCTGTGGAACAATTATAACCTTACTGCCATGTTCACAATTAGCTATCAACAACGAATGACATTTCCAAAAATACCTATAGATAGAAAACATAATCACATCTTCAGGGTGTGATTTGCACTCGCTATTTTTAATAGCTGATTGCATTTGTCTGTCATGCTATATACACCCAGGGTGCAAATAGCATTGTTGACTTTAATCAGACCAATGGGCAGCTTTAACTCAGGATTGTCAGTTACCAATTGGTCCGATCTCTGGGCCCTGCAGTCAACATGTGGAACTGTCATTGGGCAACATATTTAACCCCAAATTGATAGCATTGGCAAGTCCAACAGTGTGTGAGAGTGAGTGAATGTTGAGCAGCTGCATGGCGACCTTTGCCTCTTTATGAATGTGTGGGAATTTGTGAATGCTGACTTGCTATATGTAAAATGTTTTAAGTGGTCTGGAAGTAAACTGGAAAAGCACTATATAAATCCATATTGCCATTTACCATTAGATTACACATCCTCAGCCAATTCAGTTGAACTTAAATGTCACACCAGCCTTAAAACTGTGTATGGCTCTTAAAAGCATAAACTTGCCTGGGTTTTGTATTTACAGATAAGCAGACACATTCAAGAAACAGCAATTATGGAAATGATATAGATATGAATCCGCCATTAAATGTAATAACAAAAAACATATTATCCTGCAGTATTTCCCTGTAGTTGTATCTGTTGTATAAAGAAATGTTTTAAATGATCTGCTGTCTAGATTCTGGTGCCACATTGAACCAATAGAATTTGATTGGAATTTATTTTTGTTGTGTCCAAAGCATTGACACAAAACTAACATTTAAGAAAATCCAAAGCAGTGTGTCTTTCCACAAACAATGTCCCAGTTACTAATGGTGCCCTGAAAAACTATCAGATATACCAGGGCTCCAAGCAACCAAAGATACACAATTTTAAAGCAAACAGGAGGAAGAGGTCATCACTCAATTAAACTTAATGGACGCCTTACCTCCAAAATGACCATGTGTATATCAATTAATGACCCTGTGTTGCCCAGCAGGCTACTAATCAGAGTGAGTTCAGAAGTGTGTAAAGTAGTAATTCTTTAGTATAAATGCCTGTGATTGGGTAGGTATATTGCACTTGAAATAAACAAAAAACTCTAAATGGGAACACTGTGTTGTGTGTCTGTGCTGAGGTTTTTCAGGATTAACAGCTGTGTTGGACAGGCAAACCATCGCAGTTTCCTGCTGAGCCTCTCTGTGTTCGTGGTCACCTCTCTGTACGGGATCAGCTTGGTGCTGAGCAGCCTCTGTCCTCGACAATATCTGATGACGGCGCTCCTCTACTGCCCCGGCGTCTACACTCAGTCCAGGTACAACACTCTTCATGTGTAGATTATTGTAACTAAATACAGGAGTAGAAGTGAAGTCAACATTATAAAAGCTCACACAATCCAAACATTCATGTGATAAATAACAATAAGTATGGTATATGAATATGTTCTGAATATTAGTTATTGCATTTATAACATTGGCATGGACAAACATTATGCAGAAAAATATTATTACCAGTCCTGCCTTTTTTCAGTTCTTGTGTCCAGGATACAATCCAATTATTTTTCTTTGTAAATTGTGAAATTACAACTGTTAATAAAAGAAAAACACGTTTTTAACTTGTGGTAATTTACTAATATATGAATTGGTGTTTTTACTGAGATACACTTTTGACAAGGTGTACATACACATTTTAAACATTGCACTTTTCCCTCCTTCTGTGCCTTAGATTGTGCCATAATTATTATAAATGAAGATATATGAACACTGATTGTCAGATCCACCCCAACCATGTTCATCATAAACCCTTAGCAAAATGTATATAATTAGGGGGTTGAAGTAATACAAACACTCAGCTGTAATAATTGGTATACTTTTTATTACATTTCTTACATATTTCTGTTATGCTTCATTGACTCTTTACTTCATCTCTACAGCTCGGCACTTTGCTTCACCTGTGCTTGGTACAGCAGCATTGTGACAGGTGGGCTGTTTTACATGTGGTTGGTGCAAGTCGTGAATATCAGCCTGAATGTGACGGAGCGGGAGGCTCAGCTGGCTCTGAGGAACAAAACAGGCCAGCGGCGCCTGGGGGGGCTCGTCATCTCCACGGGACAGTTCTCACGTGGCTTCTGTCAGAACTGGGCCGAGTTCTTCACCATGGCAGACGCCTCGGTGTCTCCTCGCTCCAGCCTCACTGACTTGGTCTAGTCTCACATTGTACTCTGTTGCGACATCATGACAACTGTTGACTGATAACAGCATGTGTGAAGCTCTGCATCTCATGTCATTCTTAGCATGTAACAGCCCATGTCTTCTGATGCTTATTGCATTCCAGCTTTTTCACACAATACATTGTGTTCATGGGATAGGATTATAACAAAAAATTATCACCTTGAACGATTAATTAGTAAATTACGATAATAATTGAAAGGGTTTCAGAAATTAGAAATGATGAATGGCTAATGATGGCATTTCAACAAACCTCTACATTCAGAAGTAAAGATAGGAATGAAGTTTGTGTGTAAGTTCTACTAAAGTAGGACCTTTGGTGTTTTAAGGTTTACCAACACATAGTGCAAGTTTGAATAGTCTGAAATCTAAGCCTGTTGCAAATAGTTGTAGGAAATATAACGTACATGCTTCAGTCTGCAGGTAGAATGTAAATATAGTTTATGCTGTCCAACTGACTTGGAAACTATTGTTGACCATGTTCATTTAAAACAATTGAACAAAGCATTTGTAATAAAGAAAAATACTATGTGGGGTTCACGTAAAAGAAGAACACAGGCATGCTTCAAGATCTGTTCCAGCATTTGGGTGCCCCCCTGTGGAGATTTTCTGAGTACAAGTCACACTTTATATATCCCACAACTCACTTTTATAAAACCTCACTTTTAAAATGTCCATGCATAAACAACAAAAGAGGCCCAAAGTGGCACAGAGGAATACGTCCCCTGTGAGTCTGCGGTGGGGGTGCAGTGTGAACTTCCTGTAGACTCTACACTCTTCTTTACTGTTATGACTGATGCAATCTGAATAACTCAATATTCTCTCTGTAGTGCTCTGTGGTATTGATTTTGTTATGTTGTCCATTACTGTCTAATAGCACCAGTAGTGCTCCGTCTACATTGTCCAGACCTCCTTATTTTAAGACATGCAGGGATTGTCTTTTGGTAAGAAGTAAATTAAAGATATTGTTTATTTATATTAATCCTCCTGTTATCCTTGGGGTCCATTTGACCCCATTCAATGTTTAGCATATCTAAAAAAATGGTTCACATTTTTTTTTTGCTTAGTATTTCATGACTTTCCCTAATTTAGTGAGGACTAATGGGTAAACATAAAATGAACATAGGCAAGGCAAGGCAAGGCAATTTTATTTATATAGCACTTTTAAGCGTCTTTGAGTTGTGAAAAGCGCTATATAAATAAAATGCATTATTATTATTATTATTTTCAGCACGTGGCGATTCAAAGTGCTTTACAGATTAAAAGCAAAAGACATTTAAGAACAAATACAGCATAAATACATTATTAAAAAGGCATTTAAAAACAGACATAATAGGCAAAGGTAATTAAATAAATAAACACAGCAGGTACAGAATACAACTCACACTCCAGTATGCCTTTTTAGTCATGTATTCTGTACCTGCTGTGTTTATTTATTTAATTACCTTTGCCTATTATGTCTGTTTTTAAATGCCTTTTTAATAATGTATTTATGCTGTATTTGTTCTNGATGTAGGTTGAGTGTCGTCAAATAGTAATGAAACCCTCTTTTTTCTAATAATTAAAATTGCGGAATATCTTCCTCTATACCAGTAAACAAGACCCTTACAGTAAAAGCGTCCGGACGTTGGACTTTTTGTCCGAACGCCGCGAAATCTTCCAATCTTGAAGTCACCACCGCGCCGCAAAACCGAATGGAATCGATCACGAAAGGTCAGAAACGACGATTCGATTTTTAAAGGATCTACGTGTAAGGAATTATTTACTTACAAATCAATGACGTTCGTTTAAATTAAATTTTCATTATGTATATTTTGTGTGTCTGTAACTTTATGTACGGACGTAAATACATACAAAACCGAACATAACGGAATGTAGTAGAAAAGAACCTCGAACACATCTTAAGTACTAACTTAGTCGTTCGCTATCTTGGTGTAATGAAATGTTGTTGCAATAAACGGTGTAATTAATTGGAAAATTACAAACATTAACACTGACCACACTGGGACGAACGAGACATCCACCGACCTCCTCTGTCTGGTAGAATTTCCCGCCTAGTACAGTCAGAGGACGATGACCCCCGCGGTAATATCTTGTCTTACCCCCTTAGGAGGGACGTAGGGCCGGGACGACGACGACGGAGAGGACGACGCTCAACGTCGCCGACGGTGGAGGGACGACCCGGACAGTGGTAGGACCCTGGCGAGACGGGCCGTACCACGACACCATGATGATGCGTGTGCGGTGCTGTTTTTCTTTGCGTGGGAGAAAAGGAGTGGGGATAGAGATGATGAGGGAGCAAAGCGATGTAGCATAATCGGAGAAGTAAAGTCTCTAAAATGGAACAGTATCCCTTGCGAGTCGGTCGCGTCCACACATGGGACGACTGGCTGCCCCTCCGACTAAGAGTGAGAGCAGACAGACATATGTTTGGTTCTCCCGGGGCCCGAAACACCTGGGCGGCAAGGATGTACAATCGAGTGCGGTGTCAGTCCTCCGACTCTCCTGGGTGTGTCAGATTACCTACATAGGTTAGTCCGTCGACGTTGTCCCTGGGTTTACTCTCACCGGATTGTTGTTTTTGACTCGTTCTGACAGGACACACGTTTTATTACGCTGGGGGTTCTCGGCCTGTGACAGCTTGGACACCAGGACACAGGTCGCAGACCTGGTGGTGACACAGACCATCCCAACCTATGTTGTACTACCATGAAAAATATAGCGCGGGTACTAGTGAAGATCAGTCAATGATGAAACTATAGAAACGTTATATCTTCCTGTACTTTTCAGAGAAAAATGAAAGTGACTTGATTTAATCCAATTTGTTTGTTTTAGGGTTAAATTGGAGACTTACGGCGACAGAAAATCTCTTGAGCTACGACGGTTTCTCAGTAAACCCCCCATGACACCTTGTTAATATTGGAATGACGTACCAAGTGTCTAATTCGCATAAGTTGTCTGCCTTACTGTAAAGGTTTTTATCGATATCTATCTTTGTGTATAGTAGAAGTCCCACACTAAACCGTGAGCGATAAAAATTAAATCGAACTAACGTAAACAGACGTACGATATATGTGGGTCCCACGTTTATCGTAACAACTGAAATTAGTCTGGTCTACTCCGTCGAAATTGAGTCCCTAAGCAAGTCGATGGGGTTAACCAGGATAAGACACGGGACGTCAGTTGTACACCTTAAGACAGGTACCCGTTGTATAATATTGAGGGTTTAAATATACGTTAACCCGTTCAAGGTTGTCACACACTCTCACTTCACTACAACTCGTCGACAGTACCGCTGGAAACGAGAAATTACTTACACACCCTTAAGCACTTACGACTGTAACGATATACATTTACAAAATTCACCAGACCTGTCCATTTGAACCTTTTCGTGAATATATTTAGGTATAACGGTAAGATGGTAATCTAATGTTAAGGAGTCGGTTAAGTCAACTTGGAATTTACAGTGTGGTCGGAATTGACAC